GAAAAAGGCCTCCCCCAGGCTCCAGAGGCCCCCCAAGAGGCTGAAAATGGGCACTTCCTGTATTTCCGGAAGGCCCATTTTTCGGCCTCCAAGAGGGCGAAAAGAGCCTCACACAGGCCAAAAATCATTTGGGCGGCACGCACACATAGCTCTGCATGCCACCTGTGGCACGCAGACCATAGGTTTGCCATCACTGCCCTAGACCAGTGGTCTCCAACCGGTGGGCCGCGGCCCACTGGTGATCTGTGAGAACATTTTGGTGGTCCGCAGAGAAATGTCACCCTCAGAGCAACCCCCAAAGCAATTAATCCAGGCTGCGCAGGAACACAAGGTTGCGTATGTATACACACACACACACGGGTGGTGCAGTGACCAAGAGGTGGAGCTCTGGCCTCACAATCAGGAGGCTGTGAGTTCAATCCTAGGTAGAGGCAGATATTTCTCTCTCTTTATTCATGATGAGAATATATCTGCCGAACAAAACTCCTCATTGGCAACAGGAAGAGTATCTGGCCATTAAAACACTTTGCTAGCTCCATCCAGTTGCCCAGACTCCACCCCGCAAGGGATTGTGTGGTTGTTAAAAGATGATGGTATGTTGGTATGTATATACATGTATGGGTGTATGTATGTATATACGTGTGTGTGCGTGTTTTTTGTGTGTACAGGTAGTCCTCAATTTACAACAGTTTGTTTAGTGAGCATTCGAAGTTACAACAGCACTGAAAATTGTGACTCATGAGTTTTTCCACAGTTGTGAACTTTTCAACATCCCCACGACCACGTGGTCAAAATTCAGATCTATCTATCTTTCCTATAGTCTAGCTCTCAATTAATATGCTGACTCTTTCCTTGGTCTCTGCAAATGCTTATTGCTATCCAGTCCTTTTAATTTATTAACTCTACCAAATTATTTATGAAGTGCTTTTCATCTGGATGACATTTGAAAGGATGTCTTCTTCTCTATATAAAAGGGGACTTCCGAGCCATCTAATCACAGATTCACAGAAACCAATCAGAAATAAAAAATAAAATAAGAACGGCTTCTAAAACTGTAGGAGAAATAGGATTTTTACTTGGTGGCAACATAATTTATGGCTTTGTTCAGCGGAGTTGAACCAAAGCCTTACAGCCTAGTCATCTGAGCCATAAAAATCTGGAATATTTTGATTGCATTTGACACAGTAAAGCTGCTTCCTATCCCAAGTTTTCCATCAACTATTTATTTCTATTTCATCCTCGTGTTTTTTTTTACGATCATTACAATCATGTCATGATAAGGATAATGACAGGTCCATTGATTATTGGATATTTATGATACCCCAAATAATCACACTCTTGTAAACAAGATCTCTCTTTCCCTTCCAAGTTGCACCCCAAACAAGGCAAATTATCCTGGTTAAGTTTCCGGAATGATCATAGCTTCCGACATAATCTTTCTGTTTTATTATTAATCTACCTTGCGTTTTGCAATACAGGTAGTCCTCGACTTATGGCCACTGCTGAGTCCAAAATGTCTGTTGCTAAGGGAGACAGATATTGTGAGTTTTGCCCCCAATTTTACAATGTTTCTTGCCACAGTTGCTAGGTGAATCAATCACCCCAGAAGAGGATCACACAGTGGTAGGATTCAGCCAGTTCGTTTGGAAGAACCGGTTGTTAACTTTCTGAGCAGTTTGGACAACTGATTGTTGGAAGAAATCATTAGGGCAGAGAACTGGTTGTTAAATTATTTGAATCCCACCACTGAGATCTCATCACCCCGGGACACTGCAACCGTCATAAATACGAGCCAATTGCCAAGCATCCAAATGATCGGCCAAGAGACTTCAATCCCTTAAGTTTTGTCGTTGTTATCAATACTGTCCTTAGGCATGTCAGCTCACGTGGGGGGCGGTGGCAGGGAGGGGAACCACACCCTCCCTGAATTCAGCAGGGAGTTTCCGTTTTTGTTTTGTTTTTTAAATTTTTTATTGGTTTTTAAGACAAACATAGACAAACAAAACATAAAAACATCAAGTCATCTTCCATATATATACATACAGTGTGTCGGTTGGTTTACGAATTGTTTTGTGCTTCCATTTCATAGTCTTCAATTACAATTACATTGTATGTATTCTCATATTTTCAATCAAATATTAAATACATTAATATCACTGTTCATCAATCATTTGACTATACTTTTATTCATTCATGTTTTACAAAATAATCCATATTTTACTTAATTTGTTTTATGACAGTTCATATTATCATCTCAAATCTATCCTACAATCATTTTGTAGATATAATAAGAAAAGAATACATCTTTATATATTTATTATTTTCTAAGAATCTACATATTTCATTACCATGTTTTATTGTCTAACCATTGATAGAATAGATCCCAAATTTTATAAAATTGTTTATCATCTTGTTCTCTGATATCAAATGTCAATCTACTCATTTCAGCACATTCCAATATTTTCTTAATGATTTCCTCCTGTAATGGTAATGGTAATATTCTCATTTTTCCAGTTTTTGGCAAATACAATCCTAGCCGCTGTTAATACATTTACGATCAGGTATTTCAATTCTTTACTATATATTTCCGGTAAAATTCCCAATAAAAATATCTCTGGTTTCAAGTCTATATGCTTTTTTGTCATTTTTTCCAACCACGTGTGGATTTTAGTCCAATATTTTTTAGCATCCGCACATGTCCACCACATATGGTAATATGAGCCAGCAGGATTTATTTTGATTGTAGCCTAGATTGATAACAGCAATAAAAACACCATATTTTGCATCCGCAATAAACCACGTTTAAGCTAATATTTATTATGTTGATGTCCTTGTGTTTTTTTAATCTTGTTTTTTAATTGGTTGTAAATCAGTTGCAGTTGTCAGATAGATAGATAGATAGATAGATAGATGATAGATAGATAGATAGATAGATAGATACAGATGAGAGCGAGAATGAGAAGATAGATGATAGATAGCTAGACAGAAGATAGATAGCTAGATAGATGATAGACATGATAGCTAGATAGATAGCTAGATAGATGATAGCTAGATAGATAGCTAGATAGATGATAGACATGATAGCTAGATAGATAGCTAGATAGATGATAGACATGATAGCTAGATAGATGATAGACATGATAGCTAGATAGATAGATAGATGATAGACATGATAGCTAGGTAGCTAGATAGCTAGATGATAGACTACCGTAGATAGCTAGACAGCTAGATAGATAGATAGCTAGAGATGAGAGAGAGTAGATGATAGCTAGACAGAAAATAGCTAGATAGTTAGATAGATGATAGACATAGACATGATAAATATAGATTAGGTAGGTAGGTAGGTAGGTAGATAGATAGATAGGTAGATAGATGAGAGGGAGAGAGAAGATAGAAGATAGATAGACCGACAGACCGACAGACAGAAAGATAGAAGAGAGAGAGAGAGAGATGATAGAGATTGATAGACGATACAGATAGAGATACAGGGAGAGAGAGAAAGAGAGAGTCCGATAGACAGAAAGACAAGCAAGCAGATAGCGGGGGGCGGGGGGGATGTTTGTCTCCGGAGATGCCAAGAAAGATAAATAACAGGGGCTGACTGAAGACCCACATTGTCCCCTTCCCACGATACTTCTACTCGGCTTGGGGTGGCATCCCCTGGCAGCATCCCCTCATCCAAAGTCCACCTGGCTTCTTGGCTGGAGGGCTGAGCCAAACCTGCCCCTTTGGATCCCTCCTAGCCAGGGGGGAAAAAACACACACCACGCATCGATCCTACCAGGCGGGTTAAGCGGGTCGTGAGAACGCAGCTTCCCTCCCCCCAACTCCACTTGGCCCCGCCCACCGGGGTGGGGGGGTGGGCGGGGACCCCCATCCAGGCGACAGCCGCGCCGCCCAATCGGGGCACGGTCAAACCCTCCAGCCACTCCGAGAACCGGCCGGACCTTTGAAAAGCCAATCGGCTCGCCGGCTGGCCCCGGCGGCCCCGCCCCCTGAATTCGCCGAGCCGCAGCGTACCTGGCCAGCCGCGCGGCGAAGTTCTGTCGGGCTCCAGGCAGCCGCGAGGACGGACGTGGGGCTGCGCGGCGGGGCGAAGCGAGGGGAGCGCCGACGAGGAGGAGCGGGCTCAGGGAGGCGGAGGAGCCGGTCGCGCCGCTTTTGCAGACTTTCTCCCAGCCGGGAGCGAAGAGCAGGCGGGCAAACTCCGGACGCCCATCTCTCCGGCTGGCCGCTACCTCGCCCGGCGTCCGGTCCGGACCGGGAGACGCTCTTGCTATGCTCAGAGGGGATCCTGCCGCCGCCATGCGCCGGCCGCTGCGGTGGCTGCTGCTGCTGGCGGGGCTGCTGGGCTCGCCGCCCTGCGGAGGTAAGGACCGCAACGGGCGGGGGGCGCCTCCGGGAGCCTCCGCTGCGGCGAAAGGGAGGAAAGAAGCAAGGATGGAACCGCGAGACCCATCGTTCGGTTGCAGCAGAGGATGATGGGCTTGACGGGGGTGTCCCTTGTTCGGAGGAAATCAAGAGTAGGGGGCTCCGGGGGGAGGGGTCGTTTCGTTTCCCTCTCTTCCAGACCGGCAGGTGAGGAAAGAATCCGGGTTGGGGAAATCTGTTGGCTGGGTTCACACGAACGCTTTAATAACCCCGATGGGATTGAATGCGGGTTGAATCTCTTCCGTGGGTTTGACACGCCGTGCGGACTAGCCTGGGTTGTTTTTACGGGCTCTGGGTCTGGTGGGAACCCAGAGAAAAGTGGGGTGGGGTGGAATTAAGGCAAGGGAGTTAAGGGTATTGTGTGAATGCAGAATCCCTGGGACTTTTGGGGAGTCCCTTGAAAATCCAGAGGTTTGCAAAGTGCTTCCAAGCCGGGTTGGAAGAGGCACCCTTGGGGTTGGGGATGCCCTGGTTGATCAGAGCCGAAGCAAAATATGATATTAAAAGTGTAAGTTTTAGACAAGGTATTGGAAGTCGTGGTAAGCAAAACCTTGTCTAGTGAGTTTCTGGTTGAGTATTGATTTTGCCAAAAGTGACACATCTGCGAACAAGGATTAAATTCCCACTCGGGTAGAAGCTTTCCTGGGCTTTTTTTTTTGCTCCACTCTTCTTTTCTAGAAAAATAATCCAGTGACTAGCTTCTTTCTAGAACGGGTGCTCAACGGGGGCTGGGAAACGATATTCCAGGGGAAGGCGAAAGCTTGAGTTTTAGAAGTTTCAAAATTATAGTGCATATGTATAATTATATGCATATAATTATTATTTTTAAAGGGGTATGAGAATATATTATTCTAGGGGTGTGGGGCATAGAAAAGGTTGGGGGCTGCTGTTCTAAAACATCTCAATTCCTACCTGGACACTTTAACCTGGCTAAGTATTCTCCAGATCATTCATATAGTGATAGAATAGAATAGAATAGAATAGAATTCTTTATTGGCCAAGTGTGATTGGACACACAAGGAATTTGTCTTTGGTACATAAAGTGTACATAAAGAAAAAATAAAATACATTCCTCAAGAATCGTAAGATATATCACTTAGTGATAGTCGTAGGTTACTAATAAGCAATCAAATCATACCAGGGAATAATAAAACAATATAATTTATAAAGATACAAGTAACACGGTTATTATAGTCATAAGTTGGAAGAGATAGGTAATAGGAAGGATAAGAAGAATAGCAATACAGTCCCACTAAATAGTTTGACAGTGTTATGGGAATCAGTTGTTTAGCAGAGTGATCGCATTTGGGGGAAAAAACTGTTCTATCTCTATCCATCTACTCAAAATGCATATTTTCCCCCTTCTCTCTCCAATGTTAACCGATTCTGTTGGATCGAGAGTATCCAACGTTGGCAACTTTCAGGCTTGTGGACTTCAATTCCCACCATTCATGCTGGCTAGGGAATTCTGGGACTTGAAGTCCATAAATCTTTAAAAGTTGCCAACGTTGCATACAGCTGACCTAGTGGATTGGGAAAAAAAGCACCACCTCGACAGTTAACCTATGTTAAAAGAGCAGTTTGTTTCGTGTCAAATTTTGATTGTGTCATCATCGGTGGCCTTTAACATTTGTGGCAATATTGTGGGAGGCTGGCATCCAGCAGATTGTTGGTTTGGATAGGATGTTAGGTGAATGACGGCTGTTTTTATTATTTGTTGACCCGGGTTTTGTGTGTTGTGTGAAACCCGCTTATTCTTAGGTTGGAAGATCTGGGTTGAAAGGGAATGGAGGTAGGGTAACAGCCCCCAAAATCTGCAAAACTGACTGAAATGGTTCAAGCAAATAAGAAGGACGAACACATGGTTTAATTCTTGGCAGGATGTAATCCTCATCTGATTTAATGTCAAATGCTAATGGTGCTGGGCGATAAGTCTATGCCGTTTTCTTGGTGGCGCTCAAAAGTGACCTTAGATGGTGCCACGATGTAAAAAAAGATGTTGAGATTCTAGAAAGAGTGCAGAGAAGAGCAACAAAGATGATTAGGGGACTGGAGGCTAAAACATAGGAAGAACGGTTGCAGGAACTGGGTATCTTTAGTCTGATGAAAAGGAGGACCAGGAGAGACATGATAGCAGCCTTCCAATATCTCAGGGGCTGCCCCAAAGAAGAGGGAGTCAAGCTATTCTCCAAAGCACCTGAGGGCAGGACAAGAAGCAATGGATGGAAACTAATCAAAGAGAGAAGCAACTTAGAACTAAGGAGAAATTTCCTGACATTGGGAACAATTAATCAGTGGAACAACTTGCCACCAGATGTTGTGAATGCTCCAACGTTGGAAGTTTTTAAAAAGATGTTGGACAGCCATTTGTCTGAAGTGGTTTAGGTATCCTGCCTAGGCAGGGGGTTGAACTAGAAGACCTCCAAGGTCCCTTCCAACTCTGCTATTCTATTCTATTCTAGATTCCTGGCTTCCAAAATCACCCAAAGTCTGCTTTGTGCTGAAGTCAGTCCCCCAAACATAATGTCCTTGCGAAGCTTGTGTATTGTAATAATGCTAGTTTAGTGATACGCCTGTTGAAAGTTTGATGGAAATTGGTCAAATAGGGAGGGGCACAGAAAGGACACCGCTAGCAGCTTTGAACCTGAAGACAACCAGAGTTGATATTGTGGAGAAAATAGCCAGGACAAATTGAATTATTGCTTGTCTAAATTTATAAGGTTGGATGTTATCATTTTGTTTGCTTATTTGTATCCCACCTTTATTTTTATTTTTTTACAAATAACTCAGTGTGGTGAATATATCTTACACACTTTCCTCTTCCTATTTTCCATACAACAACACCCCTGTGAGGTAGTTTGGGCTGAGAGTGACTAGCCCAAAGTCAGCCTGATGGCTTTTGTGCCTAAAGTGGGACTAGAATTCACCGTCTCCTGGTGATTGGCCCAAAGTCACCCAGCTGGCTTTCATGGCTAAGCTGGGACTAGAACTCACCATCTCCTGCTTTCTAGCCTGGTGCCTTAACCACTAGACCAAACTCCTCTTTCTGTTTATGACTGCAGACACTTTCTGTGCTTAGAATATGGGGTGCCTTGCCCCCAATAAATCTTCCAATTGAAAAGCCAGCCCGTCTAGATTTTTACTACTATGACTAACAACATCCCTTGCCCTCGTGTGCCAACCCTAGATGAAAAGTCACACCATGCAAAAGTTGTTCCTTGTGTAAGTGTGGTTGTGTGTGCTATTTATTTGACTAGCAGTCCGTGTCATTTGACTTTGTGAATTGGATCACAACTAGGAATCCTGGCTGTGGTTGGAAGCCTTTGAGAGAGATTGAACATAGAATAACAGAGTTGGAAGGGACCTTAGAGGTCTTCTAGTCCAACCCCCTGCCCAGGCAGGAAACTCTACTGTTTCAGACATATGGTTGCCCAATCTCTTCTTTAAAACCTCCAGTGTTGGAGCACCCACAACTTCTGGTGGCAAGCAGTTCCATTGATTAATTGTCCTCACTGTGAGGAAGTTTCTCCTGAATTCCAGGTTGCTTCTCTCCTTGATTAGTTTCCATCCATTGCTTCCTGTCCTGCCTTTGGGTGCTTTGGTGAATAAGTTGACCCCCTCTTCTCTGTGGCAGCCCCTCAAGTAATTGAGCCCAGAATTGCAATTGAAAATCATTGCAATTGTAAGTTGAGGACTTATATGATCGGACACAATTTTTCAACATTTTTTTTGTGTGTGTGGTGAAATGGTCTGAACAGAATCCATTTTGACCCATGGAATATTTTGGGGCACAAAATGGTGGCCTTGGAAGATGAGGTGAACCTTGTGATCTTCCGTGTGTGGGGGGGTTTGCTGGATGGCGGCATTCAGATGGTCTGCTTTAACCATGTTTGGAAAAATCTGTGGACTTTGGCTGGGTGTGGCAAGTCTGAAACCAGGCTACTATATTTGGTCAATTTAGGTTTCCACACACTGACAAAACCCTGAAACCAATTTTCCACCTATTCCATTCAGAAGCGAACATAAATCCAGTTTAACTTTCATGGAGCTCAAACAGAATGATCATCCTTCAGCAATTCGGAGGGTCATTTTAGAAGATTTTGGGTTCACTAAATCTGTACATTTATTCGTCAAATCCATATGCCACTTGTCTCGTGGTATGAGGTGATACTAAATGTGTGCCTAAAATTGTATTTATTATATTAAATGATCGGGGTTAGGAATATGGGGAGCTCCAGAAATTTTTAGGCTCCGGTACCCATTACCTAGCCAAATAGCCAGTGGTGGGGGGTGATGGGAGTTGTAGTCCACCGACATCTGCCCAATCTAGCCATAGACGAGAATCTATTTATTTCCTTAGAAAATACAGCAGACGCTTTTTGTGAATGGCTTCTCCTTTCTCCCTCCTGGCTTTCCGTAAATTTGAAGGCCGTTCAAGGTTCATAGAGTAGATGATTATTAAGCCCGTGTGCCTAAATTTTATTATTTATTTTTTTACTCATTGTTTAGTTGGCTTCCTATACTGCTTCAAATTAGCCCAAAAGAAAGGGGGCATAAAAATGAGGGCAATGTATTAAATAAAGGGAACTTTCAGAGAACCGCACTATCCTGATCCTATCCTGTTTCCCTGAAAAATACAACCTACCTTGAAAGTAAGTCCTAGCTTGATTTTTACACATGTGTCCAATATAAGCCCTGCCCCCAAAATAAGCCCTAGTTAAGATCCCACCCACTCCAGAGTGGACGGGTAAAAATTAGGGTAGGGTTGGGGAGTGGAGCTGCCCTACTGCTTACCTTTGGACAGGTGTAGCCAGGCCTTGCACACCCCGACACCTGCCCTGTTGGCCCATTTCTTCTGCAGCTGGCAAGGCTGGCAAGGCTTTTTCCTGAAGGCCTCTGGAGCTGATAAACAAAGCTTTGGATTGATCCAGAGCTCCA